GTGAACCCGGGAGGCGGAGCTTGCAGTGAGCCGAGATCACGCCACTGCACTCCAGCCTGGGAGACACAGCGAGACTCCGTCTCAAAAAAAAAAAAGAAATAAAAAATTTATACGCTAAATACAATAAGCCACAAAATCTAATGTATAACAATAAATGTATATACTAAATACAATAATGACAGAAATTGAAGCAGACACAAACACATATTTCATTAGGATCACTAATATTGTCAAAGTATATTATCGAAAGTGATTTGTAGATTCAAATGGGATCCCTATCAAAATTTTAGTGTTATTTTTCACAGTAATAGAAAACACAACTGTAAAATTTAAGTGTAACCTTAAACAACTTTAAATAACCTGAGCCATCGTGAGAAAGAACAAAGCTGGGGCATCATACTTCTTAATTTTAAACTTTATTTAAAGGTTATTGTAAGCAAAAGAATATGGCATGTGCATAAATACACATACAAAAACCAATGAACAGAATAGCGCCCAGAAACAAATCCATGCATACAAGGTCCACGAATTTTGGGATGGGGATCATGAATATACAATACAGAAATTATAGGCTTGTCAACACATGGTGTCAGAAAAACTGAGGAGCCACAAGCAAAAGAATAAAAGTACTTTTTTTTTTTTTTTTTTTTTTGAGACGGAGTCTCACTCTGTTGCCCAGGCTGGAGTGCAGTGGCACGATCTCGGATCACTGCAAGCTTTGCCTCCCAGGTTCACGCCATTCTCCTGCCTCAGCCTCCCGAGTAGCTGGGACTACAGGCACCCACCACCACGCCCAGCTAATTTTTTGTATTTTTAGTAGAGACGGAGTTTCGCTGTGTTAGCTGGGATGGTCTCGATCTCCTGACCTCGGCCTCCCAAAGTGCTGGGATTACAGGCGTGAGCCTCCACGCCTGGCAAAGGTAGACCATTTTCTTATACCATACCCCAAAATTAACTCAAAATGAAACACATATAAGACCAAAAACCTTAGAACTCCTGAAGAAAACATGGAAAAACCTTGATACTGGTCTTGGCAATAATTTTTTGATATGCCATCAAAAGCACGGCAACAACAACAAAAATACAAACAAGTGGGATTGTATCAAAGTAAACTGCTTCTTCACAGCAAAGGAAAACAAAATTTCTAAAAACCCTACGGGATAGAAATATTTGCAAGTGATGTACCTGATAACAAGTTAATTTTGGGAGAACAAGGCGGGAGGATCACTTGAGGTCAGGAGACTGAGACCAGCCTGACCAACATGGTGAAATCCCATCTCTACTAAAAATACAAAATAAGCCAAGAGTGGTGGCGCATGCCTGTAATCCCAACTACTTGGGAGGCTAAGGCAGAAGAATCACTTGAACCCAGGAGGCAGAGATCACAGTGAGCCAAGATCGTGCTACTGCACTCCAGCCTGGTGACAGAGGAAGACTGTCTCAAAAAAAAAAAAAAAAAGTTTGCATCCACATTCAAAATATTTAAGAAACTTCTGCAATTCAAAGCAAAACAATAATAACGATAACCCATTCAAAAACAGGCAAAAGGTTAGATTTTTTTTTCCCCAAAGACATACATACAACATATATGCTGTATTCTGTTGATGAGATGTAAATTGAAAAAGTCATCATAAAAACCAGTAAAAAATAAAAATGGACATATCATATAATCCAGCAATACCATTTCTGGCCATACTACCAAAGGAAATTAAATTAACACCTTGAAGAAATATCTTCAGCCCCATATTCACTGTATATTTATAATAGCCAAAATATGGAGTGTATATATATACATAGTAGAATACTACTCAGCCATAAGAGAAAAGGAAATCTAGCCATTTACAACATGGATAGACCTGGAGGACATGATGCTAAATGAAATTAGCCAAACACAGAGGGACAAAGAAACTGCTTCTTGTCACATAGATGGGTAAATCTTAAAAATGTAAACTCATAGAAGCAGAAAGTAGAATGGTGGTTGTTAGAGCCTAAGGGTGGGAACATGAGGAGATGTTGTTCAAAGAGTACAAATTTTTAGTTATAAGTTGAATAAGTCCGAGTAACCTAATGTACATTAGCATTAGATTAGCGTAACAGTATTCTGTTTATAATTAGTAATACTGTAATGTATGCTTACAATTTGCTACGACACTAGGCCTTAAGTGTTCTTATTACCAAAAAAAATCATTATCTGAGGTAATAGATGTGTTGATCAACTTGACTATATTTTTGCAATAAAATATGCATATATCACAAAATATATACTTATCAAATCATTACATTGTACACATTAAAGATACTCAATTTTTATTTATCAGAAAACTCCATGTCACACAAACACAGCTATACAGTAAGTCCTCACTTAATGTTCAAAACAGGTTCTTGAAAACTGCAACTTTAAATGAAGCAATGTTGCTATATACCAAACATAACTCTTGTTTGTATCAATTAAACTTTGCTAAAATTAGTTTTCTTTTTTTGTTGTTGTTTTTTGGTTTTTTTGAGACTGAGTTTTGCTCTTATCACCCAGACAGAAGTTCAATGGTGCAATCTCGGCTCACTGCATCCTCCACCTCCCAGGTTCAAGTGATTCTCCCAACTAAGCCTCCTGAGTAGCTGGATTACAAGCACCTGCCATCATGTCCAGCTAGTTTTTTGTATTTTTAGTAGAGACGGGGTTTTGTCATGTTGGCCAGGCTGGTCTCAAACTCCTGACCTCATGATCCACCCACCTCAGCCTCCCAAAGTGCTGGGATTACAGGCGTAAGCCACCGTGCCCAGCCCTAAAATTCATTTTCTTAAATGATATGTTGCTTCACTTACAGTTTCTGAGACTCTATCACCAATGTTAAGAATTTACTATATACATATACAACTTATATATGTGTGTGAGACACACACATTTTTATATAGATACAGATATATCTCAAAAGACATTCTACAAAAATAGAAAATAAAACTCTGAGGGAGTATTAGGAATTATGTATTAAAATTATCCTCACCCAGGGAGACCAGGTTTCTGTAGTTCTCCAACATCACATCTCTATACAGATTCTGTTGGGCGGGGTCTAGGCATTTCCACTCTTCTGGAGAGAATTCTATGGCCACATCCCTGAATGTTAAGGGTTCCTGAAAATACATATGTATCAAGTGAGAGAGGTCTTAATTCGACTACAGGTGAAATGTGTTAAGAGAACTAGTTCTGACATGTGACTGGGATTATCTGATAAAATAACTTTCAACACAGTAATATTCTCTAAAGTATTCTATAGCTCTGAGGAAAAAGGAAGGCATTCCAACAGTTTCTGTTGCTGCAATAAAAATAATGGGCTACATTGACCTGCCCCTACCAAAACCAAGCAGAGTAGGCCCTGTGACCTCCTGGAAAACAGGTTGAACTCACCTCTCATGAAAGTATCTGGAAGTCCTCATGCTTGACCTTGGCCTTGCTATAATATGTGAGTAACTTAATTTAAAAAACAGAAACGTTTCCACCCAGAACAATAGACAGGATGTGATGGGAGGGCATACGTGATGATTTAACTTCAAATTGTGACCCTAGGGGAAGACTGGGCTGAGAGTCACTTAGCTAGGCACTGTCTCTCAAGCTTCAATGTGCATATAAATTATTTAATGTCGGCCGGGCGCGGTGGCTCAAGCCTGTAATCCCAGCACTTTGGGAGGCCGAGATGGGCGGATCACGAGGTCAGTGAGATCGAGACCATCTGTGTAACACGGTGAAACCGCGTCTCTACTAAGAAATACAAAAACTAGCCGGGCGAGGGTGGCCGGGCGCCTGTAGTCCCAGCTACTCAGGAGGCTGAGGCCGGAGAATGGCGTGAACCCGGGAGGACGGAGCTTGCAGTGAGCTGAGATCCGGCCACTGCACTCCAGCCTGGGCTACAGAGCTAGACTCCGTCTCAACAAGAAAAAAAATTATTTAATGTCCTAGGCCTCACTGTACCAAAATTTTGCAGCTTTGAAAACAGTCCATGAATTAGCGACTTTTATCAAGTCTCCTGTTAATGCTGATGTTCCTCCACCTGGATCCATTATAGCACTACTCGGCTAGAGAAAGCAGGCACAGCACAGAGTCCCTTACCCCAACACAAATACTTTTCATTCCAAGACAAGACCACCAATCATCCTGAAGCATAGCATTCTCTGCAGGCCCTTTAATGGTTACAAAGGCTGGAGATGGTGTCAATGTCTAACTCTGCATTGGAAAAACATGTGGGCCGGGAGTGGTGACTCACGCAGTAATCCCAGCACTATGGGAGGCCGAGGCGGGAGAATCACGAGGTCAGGATTTCGAGACCAACCTGGCCAATATGGTGAAACCCTGTCTTTACTAAAAATATAAAAAATAGCCAGACTTGGTGACATGCGCCTGTAATCTCAGCTACTCAGGAGGCTGAGGCAGAAGAATCGCTTTCACTCAGGAGCAGTGAGCCGAGATCATGCCACTGCAGTCCGGCCTGCGAAACAGAGTAAGACTCCATCTCAAAAAAAAAAAAAAAAAAAAAGGAAAGAAAAAAACATGTGCACCTGCATTAATGCGATATTTATGGAGCATGTACTATGTGCTCAGGAGTATGTCACAGAGCACTGTGCTGGGACATTCATATTATGTGTTAATTCTTGTAACATCCTGGGAGGTGGGTACTAAGTATCCAATACTTCCCAGGATTTAAATGCAGGGCCCAGAATTTCCATTTCCTTTGTTTTCGTACTACTGATTTTTTTTTTTTAATGTATAGAAGAATAGCTCAATATAAATAGATGGCAAAGAAACAGAAAGGAAGTTTTAAGTGCAATTCAGAGGAATTTTTGTGTATTTACTTTAAGACTTGTAAAAAAAACACAAACTACAGGCATGGAGAACAGGTTGCTGGATGAGATGTCTCTAGAAACACTGGTTTTAATTTTATAAAAAAGAATTTCAGGCCCAAAAGTATGTATCTTTTCCCAATTTATCTGCTTTTGTGTTTCAGGAAATTGGGAGCACCAGCTCTGGAGAGGTGGTAGGAGCAGCCACTCCAAACACTGATCTCCTCAAAGCAGTTCTGTGAGAGATTTCAGTGTGGGGCCAGACCTGGACAAGGTTCAGCAGAGGGTGGATCTGAGCAGGGTTAGGACAGAGAGTGGGCCCCAGGCTTCTGTTCTCTATGCCACTAAGTATTTTCAGCTGTCTTTTCTAAGGCTGCCCTAGAGAAATTTGATTCCCAGAGTTTGTGAAATTTTAATCTATTTTAGCCACTTCCCTGTGTCTTTCATAACATACAACAAGGAATTTAACCAAAACCCTTGTTTTTCTAGACCAATTATGTTAGAAGCCAAACACTTACTCTTAGCAAGGTAAAAACAATACTAACAATAACAACTTCTCTTCTGTCAGTGAATACTCTCTTCAGGTGGTGGCATTAAAACTCACAAAACAATAAAAGGAAAGTAACCCAAATGAAGTTTAAGTCTCCTGTACAGTGTCCGTCTTTGTACTGAACACATGATGCTGAATTCAACCATTATTCATGTGCTCCAGACTGCAAGTTGCTTGAGGGTAGTGACCATGACTGCTTCATCTCTTTTTCTAATGACCACATGAAATAGAAACAATTAGCTTATTAATCAGTTTGAGAATCCAGATCTCATTTTTCACCAAAAAACTGGAGAACTGGAGCAACTCTTATCTGGGTATAAACCAAGGAGATTCTTTTTGTGAAGGGAGGAACAAACCCTGGGTGAGTCATTTCTCTTCCTCTAAAATGGGAGCAGAATTAGACCTTGCCATCAGACTGACCCAGTCTGCACAGGATATCCTCAGATGTCTCAAATACAGATGCTGGTGAGTGTCCCCAGTGACCCTGGGCTGATGTCCCCATAGTGATCCAGGCAGGAGAGATTCAGGTTCAATTTGTGGGATGCAAACAGAAAATGGAACAGCCCTGGTGAAGCTGCAGATCCTAGATCCAGATGTGAAAGCCCCTGTCCCTGATCAGGTAACTCTGAGGCAAGGCGAAGGACAAAAGTACTCTACTCCAATAACACAGTTTACAGGGAGGCATAGTTGTGACTATGGCTCTGGTTATTTTGTGGCCCTGACCCCCCACTGCTAAAGTGCTTGTTTACACTTAACAGATTCTGCCACAGGATTGTGTTCATACCAGAAGCCTCCCACACAACTACAGCAGGTCACTGGACAAGATCTGGAAAACTCAAAGGGCTCCACTCTGAAAGTGGGGATTAAGATGTCTACGTTGACCTCTCATGATGCAGAAAACATCTTCTGAGTTTTCTGTATGTCTTCAACCCAAAGTCTAGTCCTGTCTTATGAATCCTAGGCAGAGGTCAGCTTTTATGTGCAGATTCTAGGTAGGATCAATGTGCCTCAGCATTCTTGGGGGTTACAGCAAGTGGAGTACAACCGGAGGAAAGATTGTTCATAAAGGCACCTTCAACACATTCTGGTTTGTTTGTTTGTTTGTTTGTTTTTTGAGATGGAGTCTTGCCTCAGCATTCTTGGGGGTTACAGCAAGTGGAGTACAACCGGAGGAAAGATTGTTCATAAAGGCACCTTCAACACATTCTGGTTTGTTTGTTTTTTGAGATGGAGTCTTGCTCTGTCGCCAGGCTGGAGTGCAATGGTGCCATCTCAGCTCACTGCAACCCCCACCTCCCAAGTTCAAGCAATTCCCCTGCCTCAGCCTCCTAAGTGGCTGGGATTACAGGCGCGCGCCACCACACCTGGCTAATTTTTTGTATTTTAGTAGAGACGGGGTTTCTCTATGTTGGCCAGGATGGTTTCAATCCCCTGACCTTGTGATCTGCCTGCCTCAGCCTCCCAAAGTGCTGGGATTACAGGCGTGAGCCACCATGCCAGGCCCAACACATTCTGAAGAATATTTTGATCTAAAAGGAAAATCCTGGGGTAAACCATAAGTAGAGAGTTTATTTGGGCCAAAGCTTGAAGAAGCAATGCTGGAATATAAAGCTGCCCTGAATATACACTCCAACTAGAAGAAGTTATGAGTATATTTTTAAAGGCAAAAAGGAAGGTAGAGAGAGAACGGAAAGTCATCAGAAATTCTTATTGCCTTATGGAAGTAAGTGGTTAGTGACTGGCTATATACATTGTTAATTTATAAGGTGTGGGTTATAGTGTCCACTATGACATTATTAGGTTAATTTACAGCCATTTGTGGCAATAGAACACAATTTCAAAAGACAAATAGTTCAAAGAGGGGAACAGTACATGACTGTGGTCTCATTTTAACACATCACTGTATCTGATTAAAATAACTTATATTTCTCAGATAAAAGTTCTATCCTTCTCTCAAACCCCAAGACATAAATTCAGAATTTGGAACTGCACATTTAAGATGTGGAGGGCTGGTGAGCTATGCACATTTGTGGGCATTTGGGCAAAGGTTCGAAGGCAGTTGAAGTTCTCAGGTTTAATCAATGCACATGTGGGATCCTGATTGGGATTATGGGCCCCATGATCACGGAATCAGTGTCAGATTTGAAGATGCCAGGCACACTGACAAAGGAGGAATAACTGATTGCAGTACTAAAAAGTTATTTTTGTAGAAATCTAGTATAATTGTTATAGAAGGGACTGCAGATCTCAAATAGGAGAGACCATTCTATTTCCAGATTTGGCGAGCACTTTGCTGCACTTTGCCACCAAATTGTGGGTTGTGAGTGGAATCCTGAGAAAGGTTTTTCTCTAAAGTGAAGCAGAGATAGCACTTGTGTATAATGTCTGATGATTCCAGACGGTGTGTGGAAAACATAACTAAAAGCAAAATCATCTCCAATCCTAAAAAACTGTCCACAACAATAGAAAAGAAAATGTTTTGGTACATAATAAACCAAAATGTGGTGTGCATCACAGGCAATCTAAGAGACTGCAAACACAGAAACTCACCATAATTAATTCTCAAGCAGAAGACATGACAGCACCATTTGTCATATATAGCTTACTGTAATTTCGCCTAGTAATTTGAGAAGTCATCTGGATTTTCTAATTGGTAATATTAATAGAAAAAATAAACTTCCAACATCTTCATGACAGGAGTTAAATTTCCAGTGTGGAGCTAAATACCTGCTGAAGGCAGCCTCCTAGGTGCCTACAGAAACTGTGGGATAGGGTATATGTTCTTGCTATTTACATTTCACACCAATAGTTTCCAGGTCCTAAAGGCAAGTTTGACTCAAAAAAGACAAATGTCCTATTTAATTGATGAAATTTATTTATATATATTTTAAAGAAGCAGATAAAATACTTAAATATAAACGTTTTCAAGACGGGCACAGTGGCTCACGCCTAAAATCCCAGCACTTTGGGAGGTCCAGGTGGAGGGATCACTTGAGGTCAGGAGTTCGAGACCACCCTGGCCAACATGGTGAAACCCCGTCTCTACTAAAAATACCAAAATTAGCTGGACGTGGTGGTGCGGGCCTGCAATCCCAGCTACTTGGGAGCCTGAGGCACGAGAATTGCTTGAACCCAGGAGGCAGAGGTTGCAGTGAGCCAAGATAAGGGCACTACACTCCAGCTGGGGCAACAGAGACTTCGTCTCAAAAAAAAAAAAACAAGAAAGAAACAGGCCGGGCGCGGTGGCTCACGCCTGTAATTCCAGCACGCTGGGAGGCCGAGGCGGGCGGATCACGAGATCAGGAAATCGAGACCATCCTGGCCAACATGGTGAAAACCCGTCTCTACTAAAAATACAAAAAAAATTAGCTGGGCGTAGTGGCGGGCACCCGTAATCCCAGCTACTTGGGAGGCTGAGGCAGGAGAATGGCGTGAACCCCGAAGGCAGCGCTTGCAGTGAGCTGAGATCGTGCCACTGCACTCCAGTCCAGGAGACTGAGCGAGACTCTGTTTCAAAAAAAAAAAAAGTTTTCAAACAGCGTTAGGAAAAGGGAGAAGAGCAAAAATTCTTACCTCTTTATTTATTTATTTATTTAGAGACTGAGTTTCCGTCTTGTTGCCCAGGCTGGAATGCAACCGTGTGATCTCAGGTCACTGCAAGCTCCGCCTCCCAGGTTAACGCCATTCTCCTCCCTCAGCCTCCTGAGTAGCTGGGACTACAGGCGCCTGCAGCCCTTTGTAGGCCAGGCTGGTATTGGCCAGGCTGGTCTCGAACTCCTGACCTCACGATCCGCCCGCCTTGGCCTCCCAAAGTGCTGGGATTACAAGCATGAGCCATCGCGCCCGGCCCCTCTTCTGCTATTTTCTTCCTCAAATTCTCTTTCCTGTACACATAGTGTGCCCAAGTCCATCCCTCCACTCCAGCCTGGGCGACAGAGTGAGACTTCGTCTCAAAAAAAACAGAGGGCCAGGCGCGATGGTTCACGCCTATAATCCCAGCACTTTGGGAGGCCCAGGCAGGCGGATTACCTGAGGTCGGGATTTCGAGACCAGCATGATCAATACGTAGGAAACCCGTCTCTACTAAAAATACAAAATTAGCCAGACGTGGTGGCACATGCCTGTAATTCCAGCTACTCGGGAGCCTGAGGCAGAAGAATCGCTTGAACCTGGGAAGCGGAGGTTGCAGTGAGCCAAGATCGTGCAGTTGAACTCCAGCATGGGCAACAAGAGCGAAACTCCGTCTCAAAAATAAAGAAAAGAAAATAGCAGAAGAGAGAAAGGTGGTATTAAGAGTCATGGGAGGGGGCAGGGCAGGACTCACTAAAAGACTGGTTTGTGCTACAAGTGCAGGCCGAGGCAGGGTTACCATCTGACTGACTGCTGTGTCTATAAAGGCAGAGATTAGGATTAGCTGGTCCAGAAGCCTGAATGGGGGAAGGAAACAGGTTCCTGCTACAGATCCAGTGTCTGGGATTCAAATGAGCCAGGAGTCTTCTGGGCACTGTGTGGGTTCTTGGCAGAACAACCTAGGAGCAAAGCTTCCATAGGTACAATTCCTGAGGGTGGAACCCTGTACTGGGAGGAGTGTGGCCATGCGAATATCCGGTGGGCGCGCTCAGGAGTGGGTTAGCTGTTGGGTGGGGGCTGGCAGCAGGGTGCAGGGAAGGGATGTTTGTCAGAACTCCTTTCCTCTGAGTTCTGAGTCCCCTCTCCCCGGGAGGCGACCTGGAGGAACAGGACAGTGCCCAGCGGGACAGCGCATGTGCAGAACCCAGGCGCGCCTCCCGCAGACACCAGGCTCCCTCCAGGCCAGGCTCAGCCATGTCTTTCTTCTGACAGAAAACCTGAGGAGTTTCCTCAACACCCGTCAATGCTCCAACCCCAACGGGGTGTCCAGCAACTCACTAACGACCCCACCCAGAGTCAGCGCAGACCCACAAGCTCAGCGCTCTTCCCTCAACTGCCCCCCTGCAGACGCCAGTCCCTGCCTCTGGACACCCGTCTTCATTTCTGAACGCCTGCAACAAACCAGGGGCGCCCACACCCTCCTCAAGTTCCATAATGTGGCAGAACCACTCACAGAACCCAGCGAAGCGCTGTGCACACGACACCAGCGTATTCCAAAAGATGCCGCTCAGGAACAGCCACGCGGAGGAGGCGCTCAGGGCAAGGGGACCGGTGGAAAGTTGGGGCGGGCGGGTGAATGGCTTCCCTTCCTCACACACCTCACAAAAGCCTTTCCTTCAAGACCCGCTGGCAGCCCCCAAACCGCCAGCCGCGGCAGGCGCTGTCCCACTAATGAGTCCTGTTTGCTCACATGAACTCTCTGTTTTGACGGGGCCTCGATCTCACTCTGAAAAGGGTAAAGTAGGGACAGGACCCCGGACCACAGCTCCTCCCACACGTGCCCGCGCACGCCGCGCCGGCGTCTTCCCGGAGAGCTCCTCACCCCACAGCCCGGGGAAGGTGCGGGGCTGCGGGCACAGAGCTGCACGAGGAGGGCTGCAGGCTGGGCAGAGCCGCCGTGCGGGGACCGACAGGAGTGCGGGTCCCTCACCGGAGGGGACTGAGGACAGAGGGCTGAGCGGCGGCAGCGGGGACTCCGTTCGCAGACTCGGTCCCGCCGCCGCCATTTCCCGCCGCTGCCGACGAGGCCCTCCCAGCCTCGGGACACCCTGCCCCGCACACTCACCATTTCAGGGTTTCGAGGGTGTCGCGAAGTCTTAGCTAGAATCATCCAATACCCGCTGGTCACAGAGCGACGGAGGCTGAGGCTGTGGAGGAATCACCGAGGCCTCCCTGAGAGGGGAAAGCAGGACCGTGACGCCCTAACCCCGCTCTGGCTGAAGCAAGAGGCCAAGGCCGCACTAGATCCCGGATGCCGCCCCCTCCTCTCCGGCTGCGCGCCTGATTGGGCAGGTCTCAGTCCAGCGCTCTGATTGGATATGGCTCCAGGCTTCACGCCCTCGGGCTTTGAATGACAGAAATTGCGACCATACAGTGCACTGAATGAGGCAAGAGTGACAGACTAGTGCCTCCAGGCACTTTCAGGCGGGGCCTAATCTCAGTGCTAGGCCGGGCTCTCTTGGGGGTTCATTTTAACATTCTGGTGTGTAAGGTTACATCAGTTTATAAATTGTGCGCGCGCACACACACACACACAGACACACACTTGTTCACAAATGGAAACAATATAATGACAACTATTTTAATATTTTACATTTCATAACCTTTCTGGCCTGTGGTGTTTTGAGTAGGACACCTGAGATTTGAAGAGAAAAGCAAACCTCTAAAAAATAAAATGTTAGCAGGCCTGTAATCCCAAAGCTTTGGGAGGCCGAGGTGGGGGGATCATGGGGTGAGAAGTTCCAGACCAGCCTGGCCAAGATGGTGAAACCTGTCTCTACTAAAAATATAAAAATTAGCCAGGCATGGTGGCGGGCGCCTGTAATCCCAGCTACTCATGAGGCTGAGGCAGGAGAATTGCTTGAACCCAGGGAGCGGAGGTTTCAGTGAGCAGAAATCGCGCCACTGAACTCCAGCCTGGGCGACAGAGTGAGACTCCATATCCAAAAATAAATAAATAAAATGTTGGCCGGGATTACAGAATCTAAGTGATTTTGTGGGAGCAAAACACTTTTGTAATTTGAAGATAATTTAGGAACACTTTATTATGCTGAATCTCTTAAGTACTTTTTCACAAATTTTTAATTGTCAGAAAAACAACATTGACCATCTTTTATTTTTTAATGTGTACGGGTTAGTAGTGCTAAGTATATTTACATTGCTCTGCAACAAACCTCTACAATTTTCACATCTTCCAAAGCTGAAACTCAATACCCCTGAAGCATTAACTGCCCCTTTTACTCTCTCTCCAGCTTATGAAATACATCAGTCTAATTTCTGTTTCTGTAAGTTTGACTACTTGAGATAGCTCATATAAATTTGGGGAACTAACAAATGTCCATGAAATCTTCACAATTTATGTTCTTTTGCCGGAGCTTCAGCCGGTCCCTCCGTTTGGGGTGCCTGACTTCCTGCAACAGAAGACCTTGGTCTATTTATTAAAAATCAAGTTATTCACTTTTGGCTGTTGTGTTTCAGAAAACACATCTTTGTTCTTTTCTTTTTCTTTTTTTTTTTTTCTTTTGAGACAGTCTCTCTCTGCCGCCAAGGCTAGAGTCCAGTGGCACAATCTCGGCTCATTGCAACCTCTGCATAAGGAAGAAATTGCCAGTGATCTATTTGACAAGAGTTAACATCCATTCCATTATCTTTTTAAATGTATCATTGTCAAGTCAGGAAGGCAATAAAAATGCCTTTCAACAGTTGAACACAACGTCCACTTTTGGCTCAGTCTCACAGACAAAGACCTAGAATCTGTGCTTCTCAGCTGTGGTGCCTGTGCAAATGCTGGAACTCAAAAGAATATTCGGTGGTAGACACACATACACTGCTGAACAAAATTATTTAAGTTTGAGTTTAATATAAATGGAACTTAAAATGTCATATAAAATGTTGTTACTTAATTTTGTAAGAAAACTGAGTTAGATTGTGCAAAGGCATTAAATATAATTTTAATAGGAAACCATGAAATTTATGTGCACTTGGTGTGTAAATGAACTTTGCCTGATTCAATAAAGGTCACATATGACTGTGAGACATTGTTGATGAAATGCTCCTACAGGTCACATATTGCACATGAGTTTTGATTTGTTATTTTATCTGAGGTCACATCACAGACATTCATATCAGCACTGGATAATTCCTTTCCTGACTAAACATCAAACATCCATATAAAACTCTTCCCCTTCTCCCAATTTCAGATATTACTACTAGTTAAGAGAGCGCCTCACTACGAGATTATTAATTCTGGATACATTGTGATATCTACACACAATGGAAGACCATATTTGAATAACTTCTAGATAGTCTAGATCTAAACTACTTAATGAATAGCCTACGGATTTTGCCTGACAACTGAGTCTATTCGATAAAAACCCACAAAAATGTTATCATGTAATCCACTACACAAACTGTGGATAAAGAATTCTAACATATGTTCAGCAAAGGTTCCCACCTCAAAAGTGTGTAACTGATGATGAATAAGCCAAGAGCGTCGCGGTGGCATACCACTCACGCCGTATGATCAATGATTTATCCACCAGCATCTTTGGCGAGGCTGCACGGCGTGGGTGATCTCATATACAATACGAGGTCAAGAGATCGAGACCAGCCAGCACCAAACATGGTGAACCCGTCTCTACTGAAATACCAAAATTTTAGCTGGGCGTGCGTGGCACACCGTCCTAGTAATCCCACTACTCGGGAGGCTGAGCAGGAGAATCACATGAACCAGGGAGGCAGAGGTTGCAGTGAGCGAGAATCACGCCACTTTATTCCAGCCTAGGTAACAGAGTGAGATTCCATCTCAAAAAATCAAAACAGAAAACAAAAACAACTTGATGAATAAAATTAAGAAAGCGGGCCTGGCACGGTGGCTCACATCTGTATCCCAGTAACTTTGGGAGGCTAACCTGAAGGTGGGCGGATCACCTGAGGTCAGGAGTTTGAGACTAGCCTGACCCTGCATGGAGAAACCTCGTCTCCACTAAAAATATCAAAAAAATTAGCCAGCGTGTGGTTGCGCACTCCTGTAATCCTAGCTGCTCCGGAGGTTAAGGGAGGATAATCGTTTGAACCTGGAAGGTGGGAGGTTGCAGGGAGCTGAGATGGCGCCATTGCACTCCAGCCAGGGCGCAAGACCAAACCTCCATCTCAAAAAAAAAAAAAAAAAGAAAAAGAAAAAT